GCTTCTTCTTTATCCTGCCCTTCTTGTTGTGCCAGCATTTCTTGTTGTTTTTCATAGTTCAAGATCTCCATTTCTAAAAATTGAAATACGAAGCCAAAAGATCCTCTTCTGTCTTGTGCTTCTTCTTTTTGTTCCTTTAAGTCTCATATTTAACTCTACAAGGAGGGATGCCATTTAAAAAAAATTTAAACAACCCCCAATTGATTTTATTTTATTTCATTAGGATCCTCCATCCAAAGTTCCAGGAATCATCCAATAATCCAAAACTGTTTCTTGCTTCTTTTCTCACTTTCTCTTTCCAGGAGCTTTGTTATCTTATAACAAGGTTTCAGCTACAACGCATCTTTTGCAAGCCTTGTTAAAATTCCACTATCATTTTTTTTTAAGTTTCAGGTGGTCTCCTCCATTTTCCAGATTCCACCCTTTTTTTTTCTTTTTCCCTCCACTGCTTTCTTTCTTTTTTTAAAAGAAAGTTTTTAAATTATCCAAGAATCTTTGTCCCTTTGACACTTTATTTCAGCTAGAAATAGCCTATTAATGTCAAAGTGAATTAGTATCAATTCCTTATTCAAATCTCTTCTTCTTAATGTTCCAAGTCAGTTAAAACTGTCGATGTTAGAGGAAAAAAAGCCAATTCCATTTCCTTTCCCTTTCTCTTTCTCAGCTTAAAATCTTTTTTAGGAATAGTATTAGTCTTTAAAATTCAGATTCCAGGTACCTTAAATAGATGTTCTCCATTCAACCCGGTCAGTCAAACTTTCTCCTTTAAACTTCTTCCTGTACCATCTTGCCCGGTCAGGTTCTTCTTTGAGGCGGCCATTTCTGACCACCACTGCAACCGCCTTTGGGAAAGGGAGTAATGGCCAGCTGAGGGGGAGAGATGCGGCTCAACTCCTCAACCCCACTGGTGGCTCCCCTTCTTCACCACCTCTACGGGGTGGCTTCAGCCCCAAATCCAGGTGGCTTGGGGCACTCCAGCGGCAAGCACAGATCAAAAACTCAGACAATCGCCATTTCGATCCATCGCCAAAAAACCCCAAACCGGAAGTCCAGGGTCAAGTTATTTTCTGAAGCGCTTGTAGGCCATGCAAGAAATAATGGATGGAAACTGCACAAGGAGAGATTTAACCTGGAAATAAGGAGAAACTTTTTGACAGTGAGAACAATCAACCAATGAAACAACTTGCCCTCGGAAGTTGTGGGAGTGCCATCACTTGAGACTTTCAAGAAGAGATTGGACTGCCATTTGTTAGAAATTGTGTAGGGTCTCCTGCTTGGGTGGGGAGTTGGACTAGATGACCTACAAGGTCCCTTCCAACTCTGATTATCTGTTAAATCAAAGTAAGACTTTTATATGCAAAAGCAGAAGGAATGAAGTCATCCACTATTTTACAACACTCAGAGACATTTCTGATAAATCCAATAATAATATAAGTAAAATATAGTCAGAAAACAATAAAATTGTACAAAGGGACTTGAATGAGAGAAAAGTCTTTTTTATGCTGTGAAAATATGTGATATCCTATAGCAAGAGTTACTTGTTATGAATTTCTAATTCCAATATTTGAACTGCTAGAGTTCAGCATCACCACACCACTAATTAAAGTGTTCTGGATTTATAAGTGGACATAGCTGTAGGAATTCTATACACCAAGCAGTGAAAATTAGAAGGCACACCAGCTTTTAAAAAATAAGACCAATATTATACTCCAGTGGCTCCACTGATGAATGTGCATATAAAGAAGTAGGGAGGTGGGCTGTTCCAAATCTGCATTTTAAATTGTATTATTATTCTGAATGTCACATGAATAAAACAGCCTGAACTCATGCAAATAATATCATTTCCAGAACTTCATAGGGATGAAGAAGTATACTGTGAACTGGGTGCTTTAGTTTGTCAAAGGAGACTCAAGAACGTTTCTCTAGTATCAATGTAATTAGTTAATTGGCTAATCAGTTCCATACCGATATTCATTTGTTATTCATTAGGTATTCATTTGTTTCTTACATGTTGGTTCATTATCATCCCACTGGGGGGGGAGGGGTTAAAATGCATAAAAGTATTGTTTCGGGAAGTACTTTACCCTAAATTATGAGATTTTTATATGTATTTATTCTGCTAAATTTTCCATTTTACTGTCATTTTGCCACTTTTTAAAGTCAAGCCTACAATGCCAATGACAATGACATATAAAGAACTTAGTGATGTGAGAAAAATGAATTTATCTTATAAAGAAGAATATGAAGAATATCGAGATTAAATAATTTCCCATGATGCCAAAGTTACAATTTAGCGTAGCAGAAAGTGTGAAAGTCAGTGGCACAGAGGAAAAGCAGCTTTCAACAAGACACTGGAGGGCAGCATTGCACCTTTCCCTGTGAATTCAGGCTCTTGTGCATCCACATGCAATCTTAGTTCATTCATTTTATAACCTAATTACACTGGATTGGATTATCATCACATTGAAATTCATATTGAAACCAATGGCTGAATATAACAAATCTCCTGTTGACATTTTATTCAGAATTCACAAAACATGAGGTATCTTTGTTTTAAACTTGAGATCATGGTTAAACATATTATTCATTTCGAAGTTTTCACATGTTGGTGAATATTTACTTCTGTTCATGTGAATGTTTATTCAGATACAAGATAGATTACCTAACTGTATCTGAGTCCAACCCTCATTGCTTTGGGTTGCAGTATAAACAAAAGGATTTTTCTGATACATTATTTTTGCTATGTATCATATGTTTGACGTGTCCTTCTATCATTGTTATGACTGTATCAGTGGTAAGTAAACAGTGCAGGGGCACTTTTAACTGAAATCCTAATTTGACTTTTAGGATGGCATCTTCACAATGAAGATGGTAGTAGATAATTAAATACACAGGGGCAGAGCCAGAATTTTAGATATACAATAGTTATTTCTTTTTTAAGTTCCTTTTTTAAAATGGATTAAATCTATCCGGAGCTTGTACTATAGTTTTTATATGAATCTTATTAGAGTTGCAGAAAACTGTTTCCATATTTTTAGAGAAATTATTGGTGGGGTGTTTAAAGACTATTATGGCTCACCACATGCTGCTTGGGCCTCAGCTTACTGGCTCCTGTTTTAAACTTCTTCTGCTTCCTATTTTGAAAGTGTGGTTTTGTTTACAAACTTTACCTCTTTGAATTACTGTGGCCTTCAGTTTGCAGATTATGTTATGTTGTATGTTATGAAATAGTTACATTGCACTCAGGTTCACATATTAATTGAAATAAACAGGTTGCTGAAGAATATGGGTCCTGCTGACAAAAAAATGAAATACCTATAATGTAAAATAAATGTGTTCAAGGATTGTGATAATAGTTTTGAATGAAAGTTGTTTGTCAATCTGTTAAAATTAGTTATTGTTATACTTCAAAATTTATGTTAGGGCATTGTCACAATACACCAGCTTTAAAAGTAGAGTTTGACTAAAACTTTTTTGTGGAACTGCTGGTAAAACAAATAATATTTTAAGGAGGAAATTTTACACATTTTACACATTTTATTTAAATGAAGGTTAACTCCAATATCTTCTTGAACTCTACATATTATTTTATCATGTGCAGATCAATTACAGTACATTATCTATTTTGGGGGATGGGGCAAAATCTGGCTCAAAGCAACCATTTTCAACGAAATCAAGGAATGACACTATTAAGGTCATATTTTCTTTTTTCAGCAGGTTTTCATTTGTTACCCTGAGATTAAGTATTATAATAATTATAGCTCCAGCCCTAGTCAGTATTTGTCTAATGGAAAGCCTGAAAGGTTATTCATCCCCTGCTAGGGTCTAAAATTGGGGAGATCAGAAAAAGCATTTTCCAAATATGATAGACTTAATGTGAGTCATAGGGAATGTCTATCAGTATCCTCATAGATATAGCATGTACAAGAAACGCACTCTTTACAAACTACTTCAATTTTAGGCAACTAAAATGATTTCTATTTCAAAATGAACCCTGAATGGTGTTTGCCAAATAAGCAGTAGCCAGTATTAAATTAAGGAGCCAGAAGTACTTAAAAACAATGATAGATAATAGAAAACAACAATAGTCTCATATATGAAAAATAGAAGAGAGAGCATATGTTCGCATCAGAGCTGCATTTTAGGGTAGAGTTAAACATTGAAAATGGACTTGCAATGGATGGAAATGTAATTTGTATGAAAATGTATCATTAACATTTGCAGATGTCTAAGAATTCTTTGAAAGAATCTTACGTGGTTGCATTGGTCTTGTACATAAAATGATTTCTCTGAAATCAGCATCCAGTTACAAAAAAGAAAGTATACTTGCTGTTATATTTACCATTCAATCTGAAGTTTTTCAGTAGGGAATATTTCTGTTAAAAGACATCTGATTATTAAGCGGGCATCTAACAGAGAAGAGAAACCTGCCCTGGTAGATTTGTTCATTCTTTTTATGTATATATTCTTCAAATACCATTTTCTTGATATTTATTTTGTAACATCTCTTTGTGAAGGGAAAATAAAACAGCTTTGTGTAGAAAAAAAATGCATGTAACTTGTATTAAAAGTTTTTTTTGCAGCATTTGATGGGTGGCATTTCAAAAGTATGTGATATAAGAAGTCCTGATTATAAGAGAGGGTTATGGTAACCAAGCTCTTTATTTTGCCTTAGTCACTTTGTGGGTATAAGGCAAGTCCTATTAAGCTAAATGTAGCTCATAGACTGCAACTTTTAATATTTTTAGTGTAGAACTTCAGTACATATTGTTATTAATAACATCATTCACCAACTGGCAGATTAAATTATGGGGCTGAAAAATCATTCATAAACATCCTTTTTTTTGTTAAGAAAAGATTTATATAACATATTTATTTCATTTCTGCACCAAGACTTTTTAATTCTTTATTTAACAATAAGCATTCTCTGAGTTAGAATATTGTTTTTGTCCTTTGTGGTAGCATACAAAAGAATTTATATATTTTCTTTCTTATTCTAGATTTCAGAAATATTGGTCCAGAAATTAAACCAAAATGCCATTCAGTTCAACTTAAAACCTGGAGTTAGAATCCTTGTTCATGCGGCTCATTTAACAGCAGGTTGGTGCTGATTCTTTAACAATTGCTGGATTGCATTGCTGGAACAGTTAATTGGCAATGCTTTGATGATAGAGTTGTAGATTTTTAATGTTCAGAATATTTTTCAACTTTTCTTTTATTGACATGTATTTAAAATACTTTGTAATACAATACAATACATAGCTACTTAAATTATATTACTTTTATTGAGACAATCACATTAAATGTCCAAAATATTAGAAAAGGGAAAATTCTGTGAATGGAAGTAGTCCTCAAGACTTAGTGGTGTGGGATACCTTTACAAAAGAGATATAATACATACATTTTTAAATTCACTTTTCATGGTTTTGATGACTGCTAGCAGTTCTTTCTATTTCTTTATTAAAATAAATAAATACATCCAGAAACCAAGTCTTGAAAATGTAGTTGAAATTATATGTATATATGGCACTGGCTCCATAGGTATAGTACTTTTGTATGTAAGGATAGAAAAGTACATCATATACCAAATTTTAATTCTAAGAAGATGCAATTTATTCATATAATTTCATTCAAAAGTGCTAGGACAAATGTAGTTACAAAGAAACTACTAAAAAGAAAGATACTTTTTATTCCATAGACTGTATATTCATTTTTGTTTATTAACTTGAATTGTCACAACTATAGCAACTATATCAAGTGTTCCTTGATATTAACATTGCTTGAGCTTTATCTACAATAGGTAATAGTCTGAGAACTGAAGCCACATCACTAACTTTCTGCCACAAACAACTTAAATAAAGCATTATTGACTTCCGCTCTGAAACGTCTGTCAGTTTGTGTATCAGATGTTAAGATTATAGAAGCATGGAAGTGCCCTAATGCAGAAAAGACAGACAATTGTACAGACTGTTCAATAACAGTGCAACTTTTGTTGGAAAAGTTCAAGAACATCAGTGATGGTTTGTTTAAAAAAAGAGTGCTCATTTACTTTATGTGCCTATGACTGTATGTACTATTATCTAATTTTTGAATTTTCTTTTTCACTTTTTATAGCTCCACTCATAGATGTCACGCCTAGCCATAGTGGTTCAGCCATGCTAATGTTGCTGTCTGTAATATTTGTAGGATTGGCAGTATTTGTAATCTACAAATTCAAAAGGTATGTGGGTTTTTTTCCCCTGACTTTCTTTCCAACCTTCTGTCAGGTGTGAAAGCATAATTCAAAGAGAGCCTTAGCATACCCATAGCAATGATGGTTTTTGTTAATGTTTTAGGAAGATTCCGGGCATTAATGTTTATGCACAGATGCAGAATGAGAAAGATCAAGAGATGGTCAGTCCAGGCAGTCAAAGTGAAAGCATTCCTAATGTCCCTCAGAGGGAGCTGATGAACCCACAGCAACTAGTAGATGAGAAGTTGGATACCAGGCCATAGGTAAATAAACTAAGCCAGCCAATAGCTGGTTAAAGTTTGCATTCTGATTGGCTAAACCTATTCTGACTTTTCCAACGTCTTCTTCTAAAACACTCAATATTCCCACTGATTCATTAACATATCTAAATTTCTCTAAACTAACACAAATATCTTTACCCTACCCCTCTTCTAATTAATGAGTCATAAAATATGAGGTAAACTTTTTTCCATTGTAATAAATGTCACAATAGTTGCATAGGACTGTGGAAATATTTTCTACTACCATCATAAGTGCCTTTATTCAAGGAAACATTTCCCAGTTTTTGATTCATATTTTGTGGCAACAAAATTTATCTATGAACTTTTTTATGTTTATGACATATGCCATTCAGAGTCACTTACTGAGATGTCATAAATAAACAAAAAAATAAACTTAAAAATAAACATTAGACAATATAAAAATTTCCTTTATGGTATCATGGCAAATTACTAGCTGTCCTTATTACAATACTAGCTGAATTTATTCTGCTATTTTTATTCTTTTATATCTATCACACCATTTAGGCAATCTCTCACAAGAATTAATCTGAGCACAAATGGAAACCATTACAATTAATACAAGATATTTTATTTACATATCTTTGAATAAAAAATTGTGCTTTCTAAATACCTTTGTATAGTCACTGCAGTATATCCCATCACATGTTTCTCAAAATTGCCAATTTTCAGATGCATGGACTTCAACTCCCAGAACTCCCCAGCTCTTAAAGATGGACATCTCCTTATAGTTTTATTGATTTGTGGAACGATTGAAAAAAAGGAAAGTTTGAGTAACCTAAGGCTGACTAATTTAAGATGTTAGCGGTAGTCATTATTTTATATTTCAGCCAGAAATGTATTTACAACCAGAAATGTATTTACAACCATGGTAAACTTTTAAAAGCAGGTATAATACCGCTTCTCCATATAAGTCTAAGAGACCAAGTATTATTTCAGTTTCAATTAAAATTTTTGAATTTCATATAAAGGCAGCCCTATATTAACCAAGTTTGGATAAACTCTGAAGAAAGCTTTACTGGAGGTGAGTTTGTCAATCCACTACTTTCAAATTCTCTGCTGCACATATTAGCATGGCATGGGCCTTTAGAACATAGAATGAAGAGTACCTTGGAGGTCTTCTAATCCACCCCCCTGCTCAAGCAGGAGACCCTCTGTTCTTTGAATATAGATTTTGAATGGACTATGTCCAATTCATCCATTTGTATTCCTGCTGTCTACCTTACAGTAGTATGATCAGCTCACAAAATTTAAGGATAGTTTTTTTTTTTGCTTTATGTTGAAGCTAAATGTCAACATTTGAGGAAAGATGTGAACGATAAAGTGGTAGATGCCAATAAAAATGAAGTATATTTGAACTGATGTCATTTTAAATTCAAAAGTAGATTAAATTAATAGGTACAGCCAATATGTACATGATTTATATATTTAATATTTCCCCAAATTTGACAAAAAACAAAAAGTAATATGTAAGTAAGTTGTGGTGACACAGTGGTTAGTATTGCAGGCTAATTCAGCTTATTGCCAAGAGTTTGATTCTGAATGGCTCAGGGCTGACCCAGCCTTCCATCCTCTGAGATCAGTAAAATGAGGACCCAGATTGTTGGAGGCAATATGCTGATTCTGTAAACCGCTTAGAGAGGTTGTAAAGCACTATGAAGCAGTATATAAGTCTAAGTGCTATTGCTATATATTGCCAACCAGCAGTATTTTGAAAGGGCACAAGTTATGCATCCTTCTGGAAATGAATTATTAATTACTGTATGATCAAATGCATGCAACTGTATTAATACTGAAGCTGTTTCTTGTACTTTATCCTTAATTATAGCTTCATTTCTCTTCCTTCCCTTTCCCTTGCACATGTGGATTAGTATTCAAGGATTGTACTTTTAATGATTTTGGCTGGGGTTATTTGTAGGGTTGCCAGATTTCCAAAGACCAATTCTTGTTCACAAGAGGCTATTGGGAGGAAAATCTCCTGGACATCCTGGACACCAACCAGCGAGCGTGACCAGACAGCCAAGGACTGCCCAGGGTCCAGGACCAGACAGTGCATAGACTCTTGCCCTGCTGATAAGTACACTGGCGGTCAGATGTCTGAGGAATGCTCGTCAGGCGCAGGTGCGCTGGGTTGCTGACCCACTGATTAGTATACTGGTGGTCAGCTGAATGGGTGGGGGACTGGAGCACTGCCGGTAGGGCACAAGGCCAAAGCAACCATGTTAAAGTACATGGGTAATCTGGAGGTCTTCCAGAGCTGCCAGTCATAAAGTTTGATTGTAAATATTGTCCTGGGCAGTGGACAAAACCGGTGGTTTCTATACTGTCCAAGTTCATCATGGATATCTGGCAACCCTATTTGGATTTAGCCTTGGTGGTATCCAAGCCAGTAATTACCATAATGCAACTTAAAAGTATTTTGAAATGTTTGGGCTCAATCTTGGACAATACAACAGACAGAGAGAGAAAGAAAGAAAGAAATCATATCCTTCTGTAATCATATTTTGATATAATGTGCAGATTTTATGCATATATCTATCTTATTGCTTCAAGACCATTTTATGGCCAGGTTCAGTGATAATTAAATAAATAAACAGACTTTCAAGTTTGTAAGCATTCCATATAGAATTTAATTTTTAGGCAGGTTTAGAGAGAGCATGCTTATTTTTTGTAGTGTTCTATGGTTTGGAAAAATAGATTTCCAGAAGCATATGCACTGGAGTGAAAATTCAGAAGTACTCTTAATATATGAGAGTTGCTAAAACCTATAATGTATGTGACAAAACTATATGTATATGAGTGAAAATATCTCCAAATGCATATAATGATTAGAACAGAAGATTTTCCCTGAAATCCATGCTGCATCAGCAAAGAAAGTAGAGTTCATGGTCAATTCCATAGTTTTAGATAGCCCAAATATGAAAATTCTAGGAATTTTTGAATAAACTTAGTTCCTCAAAAATTCTCTAAACCACTAATGTAAAATCTGATGAGAGAGACGGGGTGGTGGAGAAAGAGAATGATAGAGAGAGAGAGACAGAGAGAGATTGCTCAGTTTCAGGCTTCTAGTCTTTGAGGAAAGACAAGAACCTCAGCAGATTGTCAGAGCCCTGACACTTTATATTTGGTTTCAAATGTTATCAAAAGTAAGCACTTTAACTCAAAGGTATCAAACCAGTCCAGTTTCTTCCTTCTGTCACAGGCTGGGCTTTAATTTGACAAGGTTAAGATATACTCATTAGTATGAGAAAAAGATATGTTCAGCCTTCGAAATGACAAGTAGGAACTCAAGATGAACATAATGTCTCAGTGAGGAACATTTACATCCAAAGTATCGAATATCAGGATACTGAGAAGTTGTCTGTTCCCTCAGTCACATTTTGTTATTTTGCTAATTTAAATTTATTGTTTTTCTCTCTTTTTACTACAGGAAGTATTTCCACAGTTGCTGAGACTCAAAGCACAAAAGAAATTCCTACCTGTGTTAATGTTTGAAAGAAGGACACCACTCTATCTTTACCCCCTTCAAATTTTATTCATATATATATATATATATATATATATATATAGATCTGATACAAAAATGAGAGAGAGAGAGAGAGAGGAACCATTCACTGCTTTAGGACTTTTGATTCTTCTGACGACAAAAAAAAAAAAGGTTTTTAGCTTTAAGCCTGTGCATGTGGATGTCATTTGGGTAACATATTTAGAATGTACAGATGCTCTATTTTAGTGAGGTAAAAGGAAAACACTACTTCCTCTTAATCCTCTTCCCATTTCTTTTTCTAATCAAGATTTAATTTTAGATGATCCATACTGATATAGGCCAAGAATGTGCATGAGGTATTTTGGAAGGGAAATTAGATGAATGTTAACTTACTGACTTTCAGTATAACTCCTAATGTTTTTTTTTTTTTTTAGCACTGAAGGATTATAGATGACTTTGGCACTATAGCCTACATTCCTGAAATACAGACAAAACTGTAATAGAATTTTAAAAACATAACAGTTTTATGACTTTTTCCTTGTGTTTTCACCTGGTGTTTTATGTACTCCCTGAAATAATTTGTCTGGAGTTCTTTTAGTTTTGTTAAAGGGGGTGTAAAACAAATAGATAAAATGTGTTTTCCACTGCCAAAATCAAAATACTTCATATGTAGTTGTTTGACACTTTCATTCATGCCATTTTAAGTACAAAAACACCAACAACCAAAAAACTATTCTTATAGATATAAATCTAGTCACAGGGTTTGAATATCAGTTTCAACTTGTCTTTTCCCTTTGATATCATTAGGCATCTCTTTTAGCCTCCAATTTAATATAGGCATCCAGTTAAGACTGTTCTACTTAGCATTTGTATTAATAATTTCAAGCATTTTTGCCAGCATCCCATTTATTCATTTTGGAGATAATTATTCATTAGTAGAATGGAACTAATTGGGGAAAATATTATTTCCAATAGTGTCCATATTATATTGCTTCTTCCCAAATTTGTTGGTGGTTTTTAAAATCGTTACAAAAACCCAAAATAAATGAAAGTTATTTGGTACATTGAAGGCATATTATAGATAAATTGGTTCAATCTATGAGCCAACAATCATCAACTTTCAGAGGAATAAATTGCAAGTCCTGTTATCCCTGGACTTTATACAAAAATGATGTTTGTGTGATTTCATTATAAACATCCCACAAAACGTAGATAATAGTATAATAGATAATATGTTTGCATAAGATGTGGACATAACAGAAATCTTTAAATCAAGTTATACTATTTACATGAAATTTTTTCCCCATACTGGGGCTAATTTTACATCTTTTAGCTGGAATATATCAACATCCTTTGTCATATAATTAAATTTTCAGATAGATACTAAATATATTTCCATATCTATTTAAAACTCATCTATCATTTTATTTCATTGTTTTTATTGCATTGTGGAATAAAGCAGGTCCAGCTACAATTCTACAGACTAGACTCAAATACATTATTTTTCTAGACTGAGTCAGTGAAAATGTTCCACTGAGCAGATTTTAGTTCCTCCAAAATTGTAACCAATTGAAAATAATCCTCACTGGGGGACTCGATGTACATGTTAGCTGTAAACTGAAACTTGATTAATGCATTAAAGATATAATCCACATGTTGAGAATGAGTTTTAATTGTAAGCCTGATGATTGAAAACCTGGCCTATTTTTTTAGTGACTTGTTGATTCCCCACTGTTAGATTTTTGTAATGTTTTGCTTCATGAAAAGTTACACTCCCAGTAAAGACATTATCTTTTTACAAATATTGAATTCAGTATGAGAAATATATTTCCATGACACCAGCTCCTGGAGTGCACATGCACTAATGGAATATGAACACTCTCTTGAAATAACCACCTCCCCAGAATGAACTGGATGCCCTTATCTTTCTCTTAATCTATCTGTTTCTAGCATATAGCATAAAGTAACACCAAATAAAGTAAAGACTATCAGAGATTATGTAATTCATTGAAAAATTAAGGTCTTGAAGGTCTGTTATTCAATGCTAGAGCATTGATTCCATAAAGTTGTTGGTTGAGGTATATTACAGAGAGATAAAATACTAATAAAATATCTACCTCACTTACCCAGGTAAGTAAATTAGTCCAATGAAACTGTTTCCCAAAGTACTGAAATTTCTAAACATGTGTTAATTTTTGGAAGTCATATTATTACTATTATTAGATATTTGAAAACATATCCAGTGGTATGATAGTGTTCAGAAGGATCATAACTGAAGACTTTATAGTTAAGGTTATTAACTATAATTATTAATTTATAAATCAATTTAAATAATTAATCTGATTTATACTTTAATGTTCAAACAATGTATTAAAACTCAATAGCCAGATATTTGAATACTTATGCTTAAAACTTTTAAAAAAGTGTTATGAAACTTTAAACTTCAAAATGGATACTAAAAAGTGAGTGCATTAATAAGTATGCTTATTAATATGGTAATCGCTATTTATAATAAAATTAATGAAATTCCATGTATGCAGGGGGAAGTGAAAAATGATCCACTGAGATACATTGTTTCAGATTTTTATAATATGACAGGTTTTCTTAAGTTTAATTTAAACATCATTTAACTTAGATTACTTCAGATTTATGCCAGTTTTAAAGGTCAAACCCTTAATTCTAGCAAATGTTGAGAAGCGATGAGGTCGGAAATATGGCATTAAGATCATCAGTCTAGTAAGCTGCTGGTTATAGGGATATTTATTGCAAATCTTGCAATCAGTACCTAATGAGAAGCTGTTGCCTATGCAACAGGCTTTGGTATGCTTCATCTTCCATCAATGGATGATATTTATAAATATCCTCCTTTACTGGAATTGAAACTGGCAAGATAAGTTTTCCTAATATAAGATGCTGATGTGATTGTTTTGGCACAGCTCTGTTATTAAGGCTGCACATGTATTCTTACTGCCAGTGAGAGTGAGTCAGATAGAACTCAAGTATCCTGAATTAAGCTGCTAGTGTACGACATAAAGCACTATTGCACAGAATCCTTTCGGGAGGATGATTTAAAATAAAAACTGGTGCCTTTTCCTGTGCAGCATTTGGTTATATGAAAGATCTGAAAAGCAATTAAGCTCATAACTCAATATTTCTAACAATGAATTTGGACAACCGTATTGGATATTTTTCATGTTATTTCAGCAACTAGAATTTCTGCTTCCATGAGTCATGATGTTACTTTGCTGCCTTATAGATGCCTCCAACCCAAATAAAACATTGGTGCAGGTTTGGCAAAACAATTGGCCATAAAGAAAGCTTCAGTATTATACTAACAAACTTTTCAGTTTTAATTTTTTTGGAGTCCGATTATTTAAATAATAGTATTAATTACTTAAATGTGTCCCCTAGAAATCAAGAAATCGTTTAATTTTAATCTTCAACCTTATTCTTTTCTGAAGTCCATTTTAATACTAAGACCACATTGCTACATGTGAATATAAGAAATATAGAGTGGGGATAATATTTGGTTTATTATAATGCTAAGAAATCAGGGATGTAGAATAAATCCATATTTTTTTTCATATAATAAGAACAGAATACTATCCATAGTCTCAAAACACAAAAAGTAGATAACTATAAAATAAGTCATATTGATAAGACTTTGGAATTCTTCTGTAGCTTTTTTCACCAGATGGGAATTATGTGTATCCATCGGTGTAGCTGTCAGGATATGGGAAAATAATCAAGGATAACTGTACAATAATTCTCACAATTATAATAGATAGAAGTCCAATATTAGTGGTGTTATTTTTATAGGAAATAAATTTGATTTCTTTTCTTATAGCATTGAACTATTGCTAATTTTGAAATGACTTTTTGATGTAATTTTCACCTCTTGGTTGGATACAATGTAGTGTAATGTATAATTGCTATTGTTTATTGATTTTACAGTCATATTTATTAAACCGATTATGTCTCTAAAGGAAAGTATTGGATTGTCAGTTATTAATTTCTCTCCTTAGAGTGCGAGCACAAATATTTTTTTTTAAATGTAATCTAATCTACATAAAATACTAACAAAATTACAACTGTGCCCTTGTTTATCATCATACAATAGAAGCAATTTCCATACAACAATTTCAAATTCTTTGATTATCAAAGTCAATTTTCTCTACAATTTAGTTTGTTATATGATCCAGTTAGAGTCAGCTCTAGTGACGACATTGGCAAATGCTTGATAATTCAGCCTGTCATGTGTAGTTCTACCAAGTACAGTCCTATAATCAATATGACTTATCTTTCTATTCTCCTTTCCATGATAAATATAGTTTCCCCTCCCATTCATCCTCCATTTGCATCACATGATCCAAAATAGTCCAAATATCTATTAAAATATTCCAAATGGTCTTAAAATGGGACTTAAAATAGTCCCATGTCTACTGCCCCAAAGGAATAGTCTTTATTGGGTATTGATTGATTTTACAAAATAACAGAGTTGGAGGGATCTTGGAGGTCTTCTAGTCCAACCCCTTGGTCAAGCAGGAAACCCTATGCCATTTCAGAGAAACAGTCATCAATCTCTTCTTAAAAATCTCCAGTGTTGGAGTACCCGCTACTTCACTGATCACAATACTCTTATTAACTATCTAAAGAACCATAATATGAAGGTATGTTATTTATCTTGCTCCTTCTTGGTATTCAGGTTTACAGCTATACAATAAAACCAATATAACCAATAAAAGACCATTGCTCTTACCATTTTTCTTGGAGGTGAGGAAATAGAGGGAGTATGCACTTTCCTCAGGATATTTATCACCAGGGGAAACGATAGAAGGAAACAGTTACCTATATAATAATGGCATAGGTTTACTAAATCAAAATTAAGACAAAATTGTTCCTCAATATATTTCTTAGTTCCAGTACAATTAATTAGATCTACACATCATGAAAAACAGGATTTTCTCAGTTCCTATAAGCAGAAATTATCTAAATTAGTAATCAGATA